TTTTTTTTTTTTTTTTTTTTTTTTTGTGGTACTGGGGATCGAACTAGGGTCCTTGCGCTTGCGAGGCAGGCTCTGGGAGAAAATTATTCTTAAAGTTCTGTAGAAGGAAAAAAAAAAGTCAGAATAGCCAAGACATATTTTGAGAAAAGAACAACAAAAAACAAGAAAGAAAGGAGGTAGAGGAGAGAGGGAAGACCAAGTTTTAGGGTGAGATTATACCTGTAATCGCTCATTCGGGGTTTAGGCAAGAGGATCACAAATTTTAGCTCAGCTTAGGCAACATGATGAGAGTCTATCTCAAAAAATAAAAAGGAAGGAGGCAAGAAAGCAATCAAATAAGTAAGAAATAGAAAAAGAAGTTAAGGGGAATTTTCTCTACTTGTTACTTACTAAAACTTACTTTAAAGTTAGATTAGAGCTAGTACCTGGGCAATGGCCCCAGGCAAACAGGCCAGAAGTAGACTCACAAGTACATAATACATTTGAAATTTCTATACGGAAGAGTTATCATTTTAAAAAGTGGGAGGGATTATAACAGCCACCTAACTGGACAAGAATTGAATTTCAGTTCCTGACTCATCCATGTCAAAGTTGTATAAATTATAGACCAAACTTCTGAACTGGACACCTCAAAACAAAGCAGCTTTGACAAAATAGGGGAAAGTAGTTCAGAACTGATAGAGCAGCCTTGCCTTTCTCAATTCATAGCTTCCATCCCTGGGTCCAAGGCACCTTCTCTAGCTGGTAGGAAAATCTGAAAAGGGCCTGGAAATGATGTGCATTTTTTTTAGAGGTGTGATTTAGAAGCAGCTGACTTACACACATGACAATGTCACAGTCCAACACAGTAATTAATACTACTAATATGATTAATAAATATAATTAGTAAAAAGGAAGCAACTGACATCTCCTTGGCTAGAATTTGCCACCTGACCGCATTGAGCCTAGAGAAGCTGAAGGTGTGCTCTGTAGCTCAGGTGTTCTGTGACTGAAGAAGGAAAGGTTGACCTACTGCAAAGCACTTTCTAGATGAATGAGAAATTTAATAACAAAAGCAAACCTTGAAAGTTCTAGGAGAAAATGTATATGAATTGTTTATAATCTTGCAGAGTCTTAAGTAAGACAGGAAAGGCAGAAATTGTGGAAGATTTTTGTGTTCATATCCATTACTATTAAAAACTATGAAAAGAAAGATATTCTAAACGAAGTTAAAGACAAATTACAAGCCAAGGGAAATATTTCTAACCTGTCATAGGTTGTATCTTCAATGGAATAAGATACATTAAGAATTAATATTCAGAGACTATCCCAGGTAGAGAATTAATGTGTTTGTGACAGTGTTTAAAGTAGCAGAACCTAGGCTGTGTGAAAGTGTGGATGAGGAGCCATAGCCATACTGTGCACTCAGCAGCCATTCACATGATGTTAGATATACAGCTGCAGGTCCCTATCCCTATGCCTGTGGAGGCAAATATTCACACATTTTGCTATAGAGACCTGAGAGTTTTATGGTATTTAGCATTTGTACCCTATTACTGTGGCCAAATGGATGAACATCTGTTAAGTGTCATAAATAAATATTTAAGATAACTTTATCAGTTGAGGTCAGGTTTTACTGCCAAATGAATTTGCTGTAGGCAAATGAAAAAACTCGTGGAATTTAGTGCTTTATGGATTTATTTACACATTCATTTGGTGAAAGGATGCACAAGATTTAAGTAAAAAAGAGTAGATTATAAAATATGATTATAAATTCCATTTTTATAGGATATGTAGACTTTTTCTCCCTGAATTCACAGAAAAATATTTAAAATGGAGGGTATCAAATGTAAACATTAGTTTTGAGAGTTACAGGTGATCTTTGTTTTGTCTTTACACCTTCTAAGATTTAAAAAATGAGCTCATACTCATTTTGTTGTCAGTAAAGATAAAGCTGTGGTTTTGAAAATAAAAACAGTATTTCACTTTTTTCAATTTTTCTTTTCAGTGATAAATTGTTTCCAGCTTTTGGTTTTGGAGCTCAGATAGCTCCTCAGTGGCAGGTAAGATGAAATCATATTTTAAAGCTTTGCTTTCTGGAAAAGCAAAATCTCATCAACCTTCTTTTGTCTTTTGTCAGGTATCTCATGAATTTCCAATGAACTTTAATCCATCTAATCCTTACTGTAAAGGTAAGTGAACAAATAAACATGAAAACTTGAACTGTAAGCCTCACTAAACTTTTTTTACTTCTTTTTTTTTCTTTTTCTTTTAAAACTACTCTATTCCATCTCTAGGTTTTCATTGGTGTCATATTCAATTTTCTGTTTTATAAAGTAGAAAAATTGCACCACATTGTGGTTAGGATGGTAATGATAATTATGAGACAAATCAGTATTATGATATGAAAGTTGTAAGGCTAAATTCTTCTACCTTAAGAGGTTTAATAGAACAACAAATTGACGGTCTTAGACGATCAATAAAAAGCATCATGTTAAAATTATTGAAATAAATTTTCAATAAAATGAGTAAGTCAGTATTAGAAAACTTTTGAAGCTTTTTCCAGAGTAGAAGTCACTCTCTGCAAAGAAAAAGTATCAACCCAAAGTACGAACAAACTGAAGAGCAAAAGATAAATAATAGTGTCGTGGGAAATATGAAATATGTCTCCCAACCTGTTAACTGTGTGACGCATTGAGTTCTTGTTCTCTAGAAATCAAAGAATGAGTCCTAGGAACAACAGAAGTTAAAAGTAGGAAGCTTTGTATTGACAGGAAAGGTCCTGAGGGGCAGGAGGGGTCCCATACGGTAGCCCAAGGACCCTACTTAACAGAGAAATTTTATTGGGTGAAACTGACATGGGCATAACATGGACCACAAACATAAACATCCAATAAGGTTACAAGTACAGTCACTGAGGTAATGGTGGTCCAATTGGGAAGCAAGTCACGTAGTAAGCGTGGATGGAAAGAACAAGGGTTTTCCTAGGAGGCCCTGGGTCCAGAGTACTCTGGTCACCCCCAGGGTGGTTTTTGTCTATCTATACGTCACTGAACTCAGTTCTTCGATGAAGTATGTGGGTCTGGTCATCTTGTCTCTATCTTGAGGCCTGATTTTTTGTCCGACTTGCAGCTGTGGTGTGTTTTACCTTTGTTTGGCCAGGCCCTCTCAAGGACTTAGCCGTATCTGACTGCCTATAATATTTTTACTGAGCTCATCTATCTATAATAATAGGAAACAGGGAGATAGGTCTTTTGCAAAAGAGAAAAGGAGCAAGAGTTGGAGGCAGGGGGAAGGAGGGGAGGGGAAGGAGATAAAAAGGAGATAAAAGAAGAATTAAGATGTGTTAGGTATATATACCAACTCCCTAAAAGGAATATAATCATTATGTACTATATACATGTACTAAAAATAAAGACATAAATTAAGTTCAAATTTATACCAAAAAACCCTGCAATAATGTTTTCAATTACTATTAGGGATTATGAGTAAAACTATTGTTAAGAGCTGCCACCAATTTTGGCACCGGGGATTGAACTCGGGTCCTTGCGCTTGCAAGGCAGGCCACCGAACCGCTGAGCTAAATCCCCCGCCCCAAGAGCCGCCATTTTGTATTATAAATTTAAATTGCAACTTAATTTAACAGCATAATGTATTGATACAGGAAAAAATACAATTAAAAATTTAAATCTAGTCTTTATGCAGGCATCTCTCAAAGGAATAAACCTATAAAATATTTTTAAAAGAATTTTATAAATATTTTTTAAAGAACAAAGAATAGGTGTCTCATGTCCAGTAACATGTTTCTCGTACCTTATTCTGTCAGAAGATCGAGTGGGTGAATTAACAAAGATTTGAACTCTTATAACAAATCTCTTCTGTGCAGAAAGCAGGAGGCAGGCATTTGTCTTCTTTCATTCATTTTTTTCCTTTGTACCTCAAATGTGCAAATGCTTCCTCCTTTTTACCACATTGAATCATCAACTACAGTGTCAAATCTCCCACTAAATGAGTTTGGAGGAAGAGAGGTCAGAATCATCATTTAAAGTTCTAGACAGAAAGCTAACTTTCTATGAAGGATGATTTTAACAATTACAAAATGTATAGCTCTCTAATAGAAGAAGGTATTTATTTCCTTTTTATTGTGCAATATTCCTAGTATGGAAGAATCTGAACCAACTTGTTGGAGGTGTTTTGCCTGAGGGTTTTCTCCTTTGTCCTGTGATGTTTTTCACTAAATCATTGTTCCTTTTAGGCACTTTTGGTGGCTGGTTGTGACCTCTTTTAACCCTTCTTCTTTGAAACAGACTATTGTTTTTAAGAAATATGCTTCATGCTTATGATGAAATTGGAGTAGTTTGTGAAATACAGGTGATTTCATGACAGTTTATATTAGAAATTCATTTACTCTCAGTAATACGAACCCATCCATGGACTGCTCACCAAATAGCTTTTTTACTTTTGACTTATGGTCTAGAAAAAGAATCAATTTAGTTTTAGATAAAAGGTATTTTATGGGGAAAAAATCCAGCAAGGCAAGGATGTTAAAACATCCTTTTTAAAATTAATCATTGAATTTAGTTGTCTCACACCTCTTCCTTAAATGCAAAAGAAGGATATTTGGCACAATTCAGTTTTAGTTGTGGAACTGAAAGCTCTTGATATTTGTGAAGAATTTGAACTAGTTGTTTAGGTTGAAAAGCAAGCAGAGATGATAGAAATGGAAAAAAAAATAATTGTTGTTATAGCTATTTACTCAATTTTTCTATAGGGTATGACTTTGTAGTGGGAGATCCTGCTTCTCACCAGTGTTAATCTTTTGTTACTACTAGACTGATTCCTACTTATAGCATCACCTTATACATGATCATCTCTTATGTTCTCAAAGGTTGTTCATAAGACCTGACACAGAAGAGCTCTTTTCTGTGTGTAGTACTCGGGGGTTGAGCTCAGAGCTTTCACACTGAGTTCCTCCCCAGTCCTTTTTTATATTTTATCTTGACAAAGGGTCTTGTTAAAGTCCCTGAGTTACCCAGGGACTCAGGTTTACAATCCTACCTTGGCCTCCCAGAATGCTGGGATTACAGGTGTGCAGCACTGTGCCTGGCTTGGAACTTTTACAGTGTAATAGGAGAGAGTTGGCCTTGTGTAGCTTTTAAACCAAAAATCATTCTTTTCCTTATGGATCGATTCTCCTGGACAATTTTGAAACAAGAGACCATTTTGGTTTACATTAGAAATTTGTTTGTTTTTGTGGCAAATTTCCGTGATGCTCTCAGGGAGTGGTGTGGGAAATCCTGTAAGGTTTCTAGTATCCTACATGCATCCTAAATTCTCTGTTATCCAGAACATATTCAGTAGGGATACAAGTCCCATCAGTAGTGCTTTCTTCCAGCAATGACAGTCAATGTTCACTAGGTTTTGCTAGTATAATAATTATAATAAAAGGTCTCTAAATCTCAATGGAGTGTAAAGACAACAGTTTATTTATTCCTGCTTACTTTACATGTGGCTAGATTGCAGCTCTGCTCCATGTTTCTTAGTCTGGGACTTAGGTGAAGGAATGGCCTTCTCTGGGATGAGCTGCGTCCATGGCAGAGTGAAAGGGCCATAGAGCTGGAGCGAACAGGCAGTAGTTCTTGAAACATCTACTTGTGTCATGTCCTCTCACATGTATTGGCCAAAGCTAGTCCAATGGCCCTGTCCAACTTTCTTTTAATAGCACTCCAGCAGGTACAGAGGCAGAGCCTCATAAATAAAATGCAATAAATAACCTACAAATGAATATTTGGAACTAACACATCACCATGCCTAATCATTAAGTTATCGAATAAACATTTATGTTTATAACTAGAAATAATACTGGTTTTATAGCGATGTGGTATTTCTGTAGAACCTTTGGCCATATTCACAAATGACTTCATTTTGTCAGTAGTTTTCTCTTATTGCTCATCATCGGTTGTAGGATGCAGCACATTTTCATGGTTCTCTTTCCATCAGCTGCATTCAGAGTCACATCAAAATTGACAGTGTAACAACTGTGTAAACTAAAGAATATATTTTATTTTGTGATGCCATGGATTGTACTTAGGGCTTTACACATGCTGGGTTACTCTACTGGAGCCATATGCCTGTCCTACACTAATAAATATTTGACTAAGATGAGAATACGTGATTTCTTCTGGGGAGGGCAGAATTTATAGGTTTTTGCAATGAAACATTGCTACACAATTTTGTAATGTATAGCTTAGAGCAACTCCTGAGTATAAAACTAGACTATTTAAGGTACTATCTGTTGCTATGTAAGTAAATTAGCCAGTATTACGAGTTATCAAGCTGTGCTTGTTTTTTTTTTTTTTTTTTTTTTTTTTTTTTTTTACTGTTTTTGTTGCTGTAGGAATCCAAGGCATTATAGAGGCATACCGGGCCTGTCTTCCTCAGATAAAGCTCTATGGACCAACTAACTTTTCTCCAATCATAAACCATGTCGCCAGGTTTGCAGCTGCAGCCGCACAACAGCAGACAGCTTCTGTAAGTGCTCTGTGGGCAAGGGAGGGAAGAATGTGGAGTGGTGCTCTTGGTGCCAGATTTCTATTTATTTGGTCTGTCACAATACAGTCAAGAGCAAGAAGTAGTGTTACAGTCATTGGTTTTGGAGTACTATCTGTTGTTGTTAAATTATTGAACATTAAAAATAGAGTAACAAAACGGTGATGGCATTGATAAATTTTTTGTGTATGACAAAATACGTGAAATAATTAACATAAAGGAGGAAAGATTTGTTTTGAATCTCAGTTTGAGAGGGTTTAGTCCAAGGTCACTTGATTCTGTTACTTTGGGCTTTTGGTGAGGCAGAACATCATGGCAGGTGTGGGACAGCAAAGCAAAAAGAAAAGAGGAGCAAAGAGAGAGAGGGTGATAGAGGGAGTGAGAAAGGGACCAAGGACATGGTATACATTTCTGGCATACTTCTCCAGTGTCCTCCTTCCTCCAGTTAGATCCTGCTTCCTAAAGTTTCTACCAGCTCGGATAGCACTACCACCTGGGGACTCAGCCTTCAACACAGGAGCCTTTAGGGGCTGTTCCTCAAGCCATTCCAGACTCTTACCTGTTGCTGTGGTAGGAGTGCTTGCTGTACTAAAGAGGTTTAAGTTAGCTAACCATTACCAGTTGAACTTGGATACCAAATCTCTCTTAGCTCTATGCACTCAGAATAAGAAAGGGGAATCTACCTCATACAGTTGAAAGAGTTAGATAAGATTATTCATATAAAGTGTATAGTGCCTAACTCAGAGTAATCACTTAGTTAACTACTATTAACTACTACAATGTTAACTACTATTCTAAAGCTTAGTCCATTCTAAACTTAAATGGCCCTAAAGGTGAAGTCACAACTTTAACTCTCCAAAAATTTTTATTAAAAGATGACAACATTGAGAAAGATTTATGGCCTTAAACTATGTCCCTTTTTAAAAAAAAAATAATTTTAGTTTGGTAGATAGTTCTACTGCTTCCATATTTAATTGATCTTTTGAAAATGGAGTTGCCACTTACTTGATGCATACATTGACATATCTGATGTTTCAGTTAAATGAAGGTGTTTATTTTTGTGCTTATGGAAAGGTTAATCTTTTGACATTTAGATGTCTTGCTTCTATGCATTTTGCCAGCTCTTATTTTGTGGTGTGCTGCACTTTTAATCAACCTACAGTTTTTGTAAGTGTCAATTTCCTTGTCGTCAGAGAATTGTAAAATATTTTATGCAGATGATATCCTGGGGAGACAGGCACGGAAAATGAGCAAGAAAGAGACTGAGGGGCTCATCAAGCTAGAGATATCATTAATCACTGCTTTTTTAGCTTCACCTTCTCAGTGGACATATTGTCTTTTTCTCAGCAATATTTTGTGCTCTTGATCATTACCGATGGTGTGATCACAGACCTTGATGAAACCAGACAAGCTATCGTTAATGCTGCCAAGCTGCCCATGTCCATCATCATTGTTGGAGTTGGAGGAGCTGACTTTGGTGCCATGGAGTTTCTGGATGGCGATGGGGGAAGTCTCCGCTCCCCAAGCGGCGAGGTGGCCATCAGGGATATCGTCCAGTTTGTGCCTTTCAGACAGTTCCAGAATGTGAGTATCATTCTTCCCTGTGCAGACACAGAACTTTTACAGTCTACAACCAAGCAGTTGAGTAAGTGTGCAGAGTTAGGAGACGTGAGTGTCATCTCTTTTGTATATGGAAGCTCTCATTGGATTTGGCATTGTTTTATCTTCTTATGTGTTTCTTGTAATCTGTGTGATAAAGTATTAAATTGGTATTGTTGTGAATGTCTTCATATACATTTTATCTTTAGCTTTGTAAGAACGGAAAAGCACTCTCTCTACACAAGAATATGCTGAATTTAGCAAGCTGGAGGTTGGTTCAATGAAAATGTCTTAAAAGACTCTTTTTTCCCAGTTGGCTTCACTTGTAACACATTGTAGAACCAAAGTACAGAATCACAACCAGGATATTTACATAGATATAATCAAGATACATCACCATGGGGGATTACCAAGGATCCCTGGTTTGCCCTTTTATTTCTACATCCATTTTCCCTCTACCTCTCTCTGCCTCTCCTTAATCTATGGAAACCCCAAATCTGTTCTCCATTTCTTGTCATTTCAACATAAATGGAGTCATACAGTTATGTGACCTTTTTGAATGGACTGTTTTCTTTTCAAAAAACATGTATGGGCTTGCTGTATCATTTAGTCCATTTAGTCTTTCTATAAGTCAGTGTTTGTGTTAAAATTTCTACAGCTGCTTTCCATTTTTTTCACATTGAATTCTTATATAGAAAGCCTTGTTAATTGTCCTTGTAACAACTACATAGAATGTCACTTTTTATAAATGATCTATAAGCCCTAGTAGTATTATTATAAATGAATTTTTAACATTACTCTTGGTATTAGTTGCCATTGAAAAGAACATGTAAAAATATTTATAATGGTATATGAAATTTAATCTGATGTGTGGAAATTATAAAAGTCACATGCAGTCTTAATGTAGATTCCGAATATTGGTCTTCTCAAGTAACCTTCATGCATAGCTATCAGTTTCTATAATCTTACTGAAAGCTATTTGAAGTCAGTTTACATGTATCCCCCCTTTGTTGCTGAGTAAATTTCATGTTGATGTGCCACAGGGTACTTAATCTTTCACTTATGGAAAGACCTATGGGCTTTTTTCAGGTTTTTAAAAATTATATACAAAGCTGCTATAGACATGCTTTTTTTAGAACTGAGTTTTTATTCCTCAGGGATAAATATCCAGAGTGGAGTCGGTAGTTCCTATGGTAGTTGCACATTTATTTATTAAAGCAACAGTCAAACTTTACCAAAGTGGTCATACCAGTTTACATTCCCACTAGCACTGGGAGGAGAGGTGAGATGTGTGAGATTAGAAAGTGGTAGTGTTAAGGATCTTAGTGACGATGAAACAGTTCTGTATCTTGATTGTTGTACTTATACACATCTTCCCAGATTATAAAATTACATAGAGTTACACATACACATACATGTGATACATATACACATACCACACATGGGCTTGTACCTAAATCTAGTGAATCCAAATAAGGACTGGGAATTGTACCATGCCATTTCCCTGGCTTTGTTATTATGCTATAGATGTATAACATGTTACCTTTGGGAGAAAATGGGGAAGGGTATATAGGACTTCTATTTTTGCAACTTGCTATGAGTATATGATTATTTCAAAATAGAAAATTTAAGAAGTTAATACCAAGTGAATGAAAGACTCATATTTGAAAGTAAAAGAACAACAAATCATCAAGTGTTAAAAGGCTTGCTCAAGAGGACTTGACACATAGGCGGGATAATAATAGCAGTCATAAGTAACATTGATTACTTAGCTTGTTCCATATTTTGTTGGCTGTTTTGAGATATAAGCCTTGGAACTGAATTACGCCTTGATTAACAGCTGTTGAGGTATTCCTAGTCTTTTATCAAAAAGCCAGTACATCTTCACTGCTAATTGTCACTTTGATTTTTGTTTTCCTGAAGGCTCCAAAGGAAGCACTTGCTCAGTGTGTCTTGGCGGAGATTCCCCAGCAGGTGGTGGGCTACTTCAAGGCGTACAAACTCCTTCCTCCCAGGAACCCAGCTACCAAATAAAAGGAGCTGTTACCACTGCAACAGAATTGTTATGCTGCTGGGAAACAGTACCATCTCTTACATAAAATCATATATCTGTCATTTTTTGTATATTTCACCCCCTGCATTTATGATGTAAACCTGGTTCTTTATGGCTTTTATCTGTTTAGAGAATATTTTTTTGAGGCGAACAGTGCCAAGTCTATCTTTGCCAATCAATCCAGTGATTGTTAGTAATTTACAGTAATTGCAGTGAGGTTGTTTGGATTAGAACCTAGTGTGGGGAAAACTGATTTTTGTTTGCTTTTGTATGATGCAAATACCATTTAAAATGTCAGTAGAAAGAATGAAAAATCATTGAGATGAAGTATTTTGCAGGTTGCTATACATTGTATGTAGTAAATGTTTTACAAGCTTATGTCCATACTATTGATTGAGAAAGCTTCTTAAGTTAGAGTATTGATTTTCCTCCTATATCTCTATATTCAATCCTTTTCCTTGAAGTAAAAGCTACCTTTACTTGGCACCTGATTTTTTTATATGCTGCACAGTTACAAAGCATCTTGCACTCATATGGGATTTGTTGAAAAGGAAAGGTAATTGTTCACTTTTTAAAATATATGATCAACAAGTAAAAAGAGTCTCATGTAAGTATGCCATACTTATTTGCCTTTCTTGATTTTTAATTTTTTTTTGTAGAATACTGTAAACATAGTTGGAATTGACCTTTCTTTTCGTTGACTGAATGTGATACTTGGGATTCTGTGCATGCATAGATTGTAGGTATATAGGTTGTCTTAAATTCTGCCTTATTCATTTATTTTAATTGAAGTTTGTTTGCTAAAATGCTTAGGATTGCTTTGTTCAGGGATGCTATGAGGACCAAACATATAAGGTGAAAATTCATAATTCCATCTTCTTTAATAAATGACTAATTTTTTTTAAACAGTAGCTTTTATACTTTTCCTGCTAAGGTTCCATATTTTAATTTGTACTGATTTAGAGATTTTTCTCTTTTTCAAAAAAATAACATTTTTGTCTGATTTTTAAACTCATCATATTGGTTATCTATTAATCAAAGGCCCTTTTTACGTTTTAGTTGTGCTCGCTTCATCACCACATATACATGTTAGTAATGTGCTATTTTCTAAGTCTGGAATTTATACAGTCAAGTATAAAACCTGGTGTAACTTAAAAACAACAACAAAAACTTAGAATGGACTTACATGTTTTTTTGTAATTTTAATTTTTTTTTTTTTTTTTGGTACTGAGGATTGAACCTGGGTCCTTGCGCTTGTGAGGCAGGCAGTGTTACCACTGAGCTAAATCTCTGGCCCTTTTTTATTTTATTTCCGGTACTGAGGATTGGACCCAGAACCTTACTCTTAGCACTGAGTTATATCTCCAGCCCTTTAAAAATTTTATTTTAATACAGAATCTCACAAAGTTGCCCAGGCAGGGCTTGAACCTGTGGTCTTCATGCCTCAGGCTCTTGAGTAGCTGGGATTACAGCCATGTGCCACTACCACCTGGCTTTAATCTTGTTTTTTTAAAAAAGAGTTTAATTTTGCGGAGTGGGACTGTGTGCTAGTGGTAAGAGCACTTGCCTGGTGTGCATGAGGACTTTGTTTCAGTCTCCAATACTATTTCCATCCCCAAAAGAGTAGGATTTATTTTCCTGACTTTACCCTTTAGGATGTATTACTTACATTTTCAAAATAGCTTTAGGAAATTTGACTGAGGACCTGTGTGCTCAGTGATACCCCATTCCTGGTTAGCCGATTATTATTGACAAGACCATGTTTTGAGATATGTATTCATCCCGCATTCTTGAGCAGATGCACGCACACAACTCAGTGTTAGTTAAAACTGCATCGCAACCCATGCCTCTTGTTCTGTGACATCTGAAAGAAGTAAGTTATCGGCCACACATAGCTTTGGCTTTACAGAAACCGCTCATTGCCAAAGTCTGGCTCAGAGGGGACCTACTTGCTGTCCTGGTCGCTTAGCCCAGGTGAGCAGTTGCTTCCTTCTCACCTGGCCAGCCTCTGGCTCTGTGCTAGGTATATATGAGGGTACATACCTAACCATCTGCTACTCCAGCTCCTCTGTCTTACAGTTAACAAGTTACTGTAACATTGTCAGAAGAGGAGAAGAAACTGATCATTGTTCCTTGTTTGGGGCTTTCGTTATCTCAGATGTGTTAATTCCAGTTCCCTGTACAGAAACGGCCTGGCTATGCCCAGAAGCAGCACAGCTATGTTGTGGTTTTCAGAATTTTCTTTTTTAAGCACAAAATGCCTTGACAAATGTCCCTGAGCGTTCTTTGTGTGGTAAAAAGGTGGAAGCAGAGGAGAAAAGTCACACTGGGCCTCATAACCATCTCACTCCCTCCTCAGCAGCACCCCAGTCACCTGGGAACTGCTGATCTTGAGTATCCATTGTGATCTTTGAACAAATACCAGTCGCCACTGTCAGTTTGATTTGGTCTTCATAATTTTATATTTTGATATCACCAGAATTGTTCTCTTTGAAAAATGTTTTTTCTTTATTCATTCCTGATCAGGTTCACCAGTACATGTGTTATTGGTAAGCACTATGAACCCAGCAAATTGGGGTATTGGTATCGTCCTGCAATTTGAGAGGAAAACATTTATAATTCAAAATTACCATTTTATGAAATTCTTAGTTTTAATACTTGCCTCTTCACATGCTGCTTTAATACTGCTTTGCTAGTCATCCACTTCCCTATTTGGCCACCATTCATTCCAAGTGCCATTCAGTCTCAAAATGCATCTAAAGAACAAATAACCACATTGTTTTCACACCTCATATAATCAGATATTTTGCAAATGTGTATTAAGGTGATGGTGCCCTGGACTTCTCACACAGGGACATGCTGAGAGAATACTATACCCACCTGCCTTGTCACTTCTCCTTGCCGTTAGAATTGAAATTGTAAAACCATTAAAAATTTAGAGTCTGACCACAGATTTACAACTGTTCACTTTGAGTAGTTCCTTAGCTGCCTTTAAAGAGTACATTTAGGGCCTCTTGCCACTTATGCTGCATTTTGTGACGCCCTTTACCTTTCTCATTTTGTATTTTCTAGAAGGCCATCTTTAATTAGTTGCTTCAAGTATCTATTTTTTTTTTTAATGGAAGTGACATATGTAAACTAAGCCAGAAGTTTGGTGGAAATTGTGAGAGAGTATATTGTGTTTATGTATGTCATAAAAATAGTACATGTAAAACTGATTCATATACGAATTGATGTTAAATATATCTTCTATGTGAATTCCCTTTGGATAAAGTTACTTTTTGATGTGATACAATAGTGTCTTGTTTTCATTTTTTTCTACATATTATCAAAACAATAGGAAACTTAGAAATAACATATCTTAGTCCATTTTCTGCTATTGTAACAAAATACCACACTGGGTAATCTATAAACAAAAGAGGCTGAAAATTCAGTAACATGACTCCAGCACCCTGTGAGGTCCTCTGTGCTATGAAGTATGGTCGAAATGTACAATGAATGTTTAAATTTTTAAAAATGATTGTAGTTAAAGACACATTGCCATTAATCCTCTCTTTAAAATATTCCCTTTGGCTTCAAGCACACTTTTCCCATTGTTCTTGCCACTATCTGAACTGCCTTCCTGAGAAGTGATTAAAAAATAGGGTTGCCAAGTGCCACCCAACAGAAGGGCAGGCTCAAAAAGCCCTTAGTGTGTCCACATCCACCTTATTCATCAGCTGTGGAACGTGTGACATCTGGCTCTTCCCTAAAGTCAAAATGACCATGAAAAGTAAGTGTTTTGAATTGATTCAGGAAACCAAAGCAGTCAGGACAGTGCCACTAAAGACAATCAAGAAAGATGACTTCCAAAACCGCTTCAAAAAGTGGCAACAGTGATGGACTAAGTGTATGCAAAGTGAAGAAGAGGATTGTAAGGGAAGAGCAATGGCAGTGCGCAAAATTTTTTTTAAAACACTAAGCATTCACAATATTTTTTGATCATGCCATATATGTCCTGATATAGTAGAAGAGCAAGTGAGTAACACACTCCTGAGTAGTAGCACTAATTCCTGTAGGAGGGCAGAATCCTCATGTACTAATCAACACTTAATGTTCCCATCTCTTAATGCTGTTATAATGGCAAGTACATTTCAATGTGAGTTTTGGAGGGGACACTCCATAGTATAAAGTGAATACAGTATTTAGGGTAAACCTGTGTATCATATTTTACTAAATTACACATCTTGGGCGATCTTGTGATATTTGTTTCGGATACTTTTTACATTTTATTTACATTTTATCAGTCATGTTAAGCATGACAGGATGTCCACTTTAAAATAAATGTTTAATTTCTTATGTTCCAGTTATAGGGCAGGGCTTTGGAAATGGCGGTATTCCCAAAGGCAGCCACAGTTGCTACTTTCATTGAAACAGTGCTCTAATAAGGGATAGAAAACATTAAAGCATTAGACATTGAGCTCATTGCATGGGACAGCATAGTAGGGAAACCTAGCCTACCAAGGAGGCAAAAAGGTCTTCCCTGAGGATATACCCTGTAAGCTAAGACCTGAAAGTTAATTGGTGAAGAGTGTTAAAATCACATAAAGGTATCAGGTAAACAGCGGGTATGAAGTTGAATGTTTTAGGAATGGAAAAATATTTGAGTGCTGGAATATGCAGTGTCAAATGTAAAGTAAAAGAGGTAGAGTAGTCATTAGGGTTTGCATCTTGGGTCCAGGTGGGGGGGGGTCCCAGGAGCAGGAAAAGGAGTTCAGAATTTGGGTAAGGTATACTAAATAGGTTTCAAGAAAAAAATAGTGTGATCCTATTTGTGATTTTGAAAAACTGGATTGGGGGGGCCTGTATCTTAGTTAAGTCAGATGGACCCACGGCCCATAGGCACACTGTGGCCAAATTTGAGTCTGTTCCAGTGGCTTTGCTTTGGTGAAACCCAGATTGGGGAGCTGGTGATGGTCACCTTTGGGTGTCTGATCACACACTTGGCTAAGGATGTGATTCTTGGTCTATTTCCAAATTCATTGCCTTTACCCCCACAAACCTGCCTCCCTATCAGATCATCTGTTATGCCCATATTATCAGTTTCTTCATGTTTCAGAGGCTAGCTCACACTTTGTAATAACACAGATTTCTGGGGTTGCCAAACCCTTGCTGATGGCAAGATCATCACCCTTGTCACTGCCATCACTACATTTGACCAAATTCTTTGGAAAAATCATAGGTGGTTTCAGTTTCCTTAGAAGATCACACTTTGGCTCAGCTATTGATTCTTTTCTTCCCCCAAAGACATGATCAATGAGACATCATTATAAGCAGAATTTTGACTCGTTACAGCTTTGAAAGGGAAAGCTATATCTTTAGTCTTTTCATTAGCAGACTCACAAAGTACTGGGATTTGTGGCAGTACCATGTCTCACAGAAAGTGGACTCAGAGGAATTTCAGGAGTTGGGGAGCTGTAGAAAGTTCTTGGGGAGAAGACCAAGTAGAAAATAATTTGTCTTTCTCACCTACCCCTTCCATCATGTAATAACTATTCACTCGTTCTCTGCACAAATATTTATTGAGTAGCTTACTACTGTCAATCAACAAGGGTGATTTTTTAAAAAAATAATAAATTCTGGCCTCAAAGCTTATGATCTAATATGGAAAAGGAGACATTATATGATGCTAAAACAGCACAGAAATGAGCTAAGTGCGGGGCCTTTTATGGTTGGAGTAAGACAGTCTCCTATGGTGGCTCCAGGCACTTCCAGGGGCCCCAGATGCTGCCTCTGGAAGGACAGTCCTCTTGCCCCTCCCTCCAGCACTCATTCTATGAATAACAGGACTGTTCTGCCAGTCCTTATGAGGGCCAAGATCCAGGCCCAGTTGGCTTCCTCATGCTAACACTACACAGCTCCTCCCCCTGTACTATGTACATTCTTTTTTTCTCTCTCAAATTCTTTTATTGGTACATTTTAGGTATATAATACATTTACATTCATCACTGGGAACTTGTACCTGTACATGATGTATCTTGGCTCTTATGTATTCCCAATTCCCCTGCCCTACCTTCAATCCCTCCATCCCTCCCTATTTGCAAAAGCTTTGTTTGCATTTATTTCTTATCATATTTTTCCTATCACTTCTTTCTTTTCCCCTACCCCTCCCACTTCACCTACCCGTTAGTACCTTTGTCTTCTTATTTCGCATTATAAATTATTCATTTTAATT